GAATTCAGGAATGTCCCTGGTAAAAGTAAAAGAAATGCCATCTGTGGTGCCTCACATGCAAAACACAGGCAATGCTGGCAAGCAGACAGTAACACAGATGAGCTCACACTTGCTCATTCCCCCTCCTGGCTGAAGCATATTGTTGGACGAGCCTGGGACGTTTGGACTATGGACTTGCTTTCTCTAAGGCCTTTTTGATGTACACAGTGACTCTTTCTTAAAAGCATTGTGATGATCAGTAACTTTTTCGTTTTGTTTCTCTTTGGAAACCAGGTAGTAAATGGAGATGATGGTTTCTGGACACTCATGGTTTTCCAGAGAAAGGTACTATCTTAGAAACAGAGAATCTAAGAGAGACAGGTGGGATTGTCTGCCCTAGCTCTGTCCTATATCTGGTCAGAAGTAGTTGCTTGGCTTCTTTTGGTCTTAAGTTTAATAAATGAGCCTGCTTCTTCCCAGCATGCCTGGGGTCTATCATCTTTATTCTTGACTTGATTTATTTCCAAGAGATGAGACATGTGACCATAGTTTTAAGGGTGGCTGACGTTTTAGAAAGTAGGAAATAAAGAAATCTTGGGTAATCACACACATACATGGTCGCCTTCCCAGAGCTTTGCCATAGTAGTGGCTAGATATTGTTTGAGTAGGGATTTAGCTTGAAGCTCAGTACTTCTTTTTTTTTTTTTTTTGGTTTTTGGGTCACACCCGGCGATGCTCAGGGGTTACTCCTAGCTCATGCACTCAGGAATTGCTCCTGGCGGTGCTCGGGGGACCATATGGGGTGCTGGGAATCGAACCTGTGTCGGTCATGTTGGCTGCGTGCAAGGCAAACGCCCTACCCACTATGCTATCGGTCCAGCCCCGAAGCTCAGTACTTCTGTATCCCAAACCTTACATGTCACGTTACATGGGTACACTTATCTGTTTTGTGGTGACAGATCTAAAAAATATTAAGTGATGTTTATGAAGGCATGTAGATGATTTGAGTCAAGGATAAGATTTCAGCTTATGTCTTCTAGTTCCATAGTTGGTGACCATTTTGCCAATTGAGTAGCTGACTGAATATACAGAAGTCTTAGTATAAATTTTTCTCTGCTTACAGAAATATATTAATAAATACAACTAAAGTGGTTCAGTGTTCTATTAAGTAAATATATGCATTTTTAAAAGTAGAATAAAAAATACATGTGATTTTCTAAGAATCATGTACAAGAGTATAACTTGTCTTTATAATCACATACTTCAGGGAAAATAACTTTCTAATAAATAATTATGTTAAAGACTAATGCTTATGTGCCATAATAAAAATACATAATACTAAGCCCCTCTGTTTTATTTCTGTTTTGTTTGGAGCCACATCCAAGTATGCTCAGAGTTTACTCCTGGCTCTATACTAAGGGATCCCTCCTGGAGGACTTCAGGGGATCATATGGGGTACCAGGGGACTGAACTCAGGTCACCCATGTTCAAGGCCTACCAGATGTACTATTGCTCCAGCCTCAGTAGAAGGCTCTTTAAAAAGAAAAGCACACAGAAGTTACTTGAAATCCTTAATTTAAGAATTCTATTTGGTGCTGCTTATGACTGAGATGCTTACAAACTCATTGTTAAAATTTAGGTTATCAAACAAGTTCAGATTGTGTTCAGCTGCCTTGTTCCATCTCAACACAAGGAAACAGACAGGTCTAAGAGGGAGGTTTTTAGCCAAGAAAGAGGGAAGACTGGTCGTTAGCAGTGAGCAGGGGACTTCCTTCCTGCTCCTGCTTCCTGTGTTGTAGGAACCCAAAAGGACAGAACACAGACCAATGTAGACCTACTCCAGTGATGGCAAGACAGCCAGGTGTCAGATTCTAAATTTTCTTTCTTTCTCCCACTGTATTTAATAATAAGTGAGTGAAACTTCCAATGAATTTTGCTTTCAGATGTGACTCACGTGCTAGCTTTGATAATAAATGTTGGGCATTGCCTCATACTATACTGCTGTATGGTTTTGTTTTTAAATGTGCATTCTATAAAGTGTCACGGGGTCTGCAGGAGACAAGTAGAGGAAAAGAGAGTGGATTGTGGCCCGAGGCATTATTTGCTTGAGAAAAATTGCTGCCAGGCGAGTGGTTTCAAAAAGCTAAGGTTGCTGGTGTGGTCTTGAGTGGGTACTGAATGAAAGAGAAGATGATTTTTCCTCTGCTTTATAAATATTTGCTGGAGAGCTAATGGATTTTTGTGTGCATGAGTATTTCCTCTTTTTTTTTTTCCGGGGAAATTCTAAGTAGTGCAGGGATATCCTGTGATAAAATACATGAAGTAGAAACTGAGTGAACAGATGGAGGAGTGGAAGAAATTTGCCCCAGGTTATTAGCTGCTGTATTGTGACTACAGTCTTGTCTTCTCAGGCTTGTCTACAGGTGATCAAATACAGTGGAATATGTTGGGCATAAATATCATTTCCAGCAGCAGCACTCACATCATGAAGCATTTCTCCCCATCAGAGAAAACATAAATGTTTTCACAAGCTTAAATTCTATTTTATTTTAAGTTAGTGCTCATCCTGGAGGAATTCCAGTGAGTAATCCCTTGCAATCTTAAATCCTTAAGCATCTGAATGAGAAGAGCTTTTTTGGCATTACTTAAATGGTATGATGAATGTTCTCCCAATTCAATATCTGCTCGTCTTATTAGATAATCATATTAATGTGGTGAGAGTTGGAATATTTTAAACCTGAATCTTCAAGCAAAGAAACAGGATCGATCTCTGACTGTAATTATTCATTTTGTGAAAACAAAAAATTTCTAAAAATATACGTGTATACCCATTTTGGTTTTTGTATATGGAAATTAGATGTCACAAGATTGTTAAAAATCATTGAAATATCATTAATATTTTAATTTATAGAATATTTATTGATAAATATTTTCTAAGCACAAACTGCATTCCAGATTATTTTTTTGCTGTCTTATAATAAATGTGGTTTTTCCATCAGAGGTAGTGTCTAATGAAATTGGCAGTTCACGGAGAAAACTTTTCCAATAGGACCCCAAGAGAGGTCCCATCCCCATCTAGTCAGAATAACCTCACTAGCTTTCTGTGGTTGAGAGAGGGCTGCAGGAGAGATATAAGAGGAGAGCAAGGAAGCAGGTCACCCTAGTTTGCTCTCTCCTCATCCCCAGAGATCAGGAGACAGTGCCAGGGCAAGCCCATCACCAGATTCTTGCCTGTCCTAACAGCGGAAGCCTAGAGTCAACTGATTGTTCCACTGCTAAAAATGCTAAAAATACCCCCCTTTCCACCATCCCCTGTGTACAGTAGGACTCATGATCTTACCCCTCTCTCCGCTAACCCCTGCTAGAGAAAGCACCTGTCTGGACATAGCTTTCTTTGTGGATCGGCACAATGAAGAGAAGATGTGACTATATCTTTTCTCACTGAAACGTAGTCACCTGGGATTCAGGTACCTATCCGAGGAGAAGGGTTAGGGTCTCAGTAGCGGAGAATCTCCATTAGAGAGTTATTCCCACTTCATGACACCCACATTTTTGAGTCTATCAACTAGAATTTCTTATCTCTTCTTCATACATAGGGATGGAGTAATAAAACTTTCTATCAAACTTCAAATACATCAAGCTACTTTTCTGCATGCATAAATTGTAAGCATATGTCTCGGTGAGCTGATTGAAACATTCATATACCCAATACTCAGGTGAAGTGTATCTTTTTATAAAAACATTCCTTGTCTAATAAAAGCATTTGACAAGAATTTTGAAAAACACAGAAGAGTACGAAGAAAAAAATTAAACCACCCATTGTACCTCCCCCAAATGACCCCTGCTAACATTTGATGAGTTTCCTGTCCCTGTCCTGTCCCCCTCACCACAACTCCACCACCCCATCACAAATCACACAGAGATAAGTAGGCGTCCATAAATACACACACACACACACACACACACACACGCAAACACATGTACACACACACACACATGCCCATCACCTCTACCTCATTGTGTTTATCTGCACACGCACAGGTGAGTTGTAAAGAGTTGTAGTAATTTGTACACAGATACTTGGGCCTTTCATCACCAGGTGTTGGACTTTGGCAACCGTGTGAGGGGAAAGAAAGTCAAGGAACTGAAAACCACATGCCCCCTCACTCGGCAGCACAAAGGGGTTGTCTGTTGGGAGACATTTGGTGGGAGGCATCGATTGACTCACAGAGTGAAGACTTCCCCTGTCTCCCAGAAAACGAAGAGTTCTGGAGAGGAACTTAGGAGATATTTTAGGGGATTGCACCTCTTCATGCAGAACTGAGGGGCCGGACTGGAGCAGGTCTTTTCTGGCTGCTCCATGACAGTGACCGCCACCCCCACCCCCGCACGCCTTTTCAGGGCTCCAGCTTCACTTTTGCCAGAAAGGCCAGCTTTATTTTTTTCCACGTAATGAGCTCTCTCGCAGATACCCAAACAGGCTTTAATAATGGCAGCTCTTGTTTTAACCAGAGGAAGCTGAGTCAAGTCACTGGAAATGGGCCCGGCGGCTCTGAGAGTCGCAGCAAAGCGATCTTGCAATCAGCTCGAAAATGAATGAGACGCGGCCTCCTCAGCGCTGGCTGCTTTGGTCGTTGATGAGTTTCCTGCACACATTGTCAAGAAGGGAACAGTTGGCAGCGGCTTCCCGTTGCTATGGGTGGTGCAGGGCATGATGCCCAGCTGCCCCCTAGTTGGCCAAGGGCTTGGCTTCTGCAGGGACCTTGATGGGCCTTCTGGTGCTGAGAAAAGTTAATTTCCCCAGGACTCTCTCCTCTTTTCTTCTAATGAACAATTTTAAAAGTTTTATTTTCTTGTCTGCTTATGATTTGAGTTATTTCACATGCAGAAATTCCACGGGACTGTCTTATTTGTGAATTGTCTTCCCAGTGCACCCCTCTCTCTCCTGTTAATTGCATAGTCACAAACAGTATCATGTGACCTGTATGTTTACGTCTGTTGTTGTTGTATTGTCTTTGCAGTCGAAATCAGCTGTCTGCCCTGCCCGCCTGCCTGTGTGGTCTGCCTCTCAAAGTCTTAATTGCAAGTAACAACAAACTTGGATCTCTGCCAGAAGAGATCGGGCAGCTCAAACAGTTAATGGAGTTGGTACGTCACTGATTTTTAAGATACTCTTTCTTGTTCTTTATCGCTGGGTTATTGTCTAGGAGGATAGTCAGAGAGATATTTTGCTGTTTTGCTGTAGGGGGTCAGACGAGGATGAGCCTGGATTGGGGGAGGACTGTGGGTAAGGAAGATGAAGAGTGGAATGGTCCCGGCCGTACTGTGACAGACAGGCTTCCTGAAATGGCCTGTTTCCTGTCCTCTACACTTCCTCGTGTTGTACAACCCCTAATCATGACCACCTATCACTCTGTAGCTAGATCACTCCCCCCGTCCCTAATCCCACATAAGCTTGTGATAAATTATGGATAAACTGGCAGACTGTAGCCACATCAGATAATAGTCCTCCCTTTACATTTCTGCATATATGTGAGAAGTGTTCTGGTTCTGTCGGGATCTTAGTAACCATTGCCTCAAATCTATGTAACTTTGAAGCATGAGTCTGTTCTCAGGGATGAAGGAGATGTTCAGATAGCTGAAATGGGTTGCCATTGTATAGCTGAGGCAGTGTGTACCCTAGAGATGCACTGTTCTATTTCAGCTCTTTCACGACTGACTTACCTTGTTTCCAGCACAGGAAAGGGTGAATCATTCCCTAGACTTGAACTGAGAAAAAAATGGGTGAATCAAGAGATTTAAATGTGTGGTCAGGCTAAAACAAAAGAATCATAATCTGTCCTCCAAGTAAATATCATTCCAGGATGATCTTTCCACGCACAGAGCTTGATGCAGTTATAACCCTGAAAAGTGGCTTCGTTCCTGTGGATTCCCATCTAGAATACTAATGTCCAAAATAGTGCTCTTGGCTACCAACTCCATTTCATTCCCCTGGAGTCTCCCTGAAACCTGGTGGGGGTAGCCTGTGACTCCCCCATAGAGGACCGAGACCTCACACTCAGGTCTGCAGCAGAAAGTGGCCAGACAGTGAACCACTTAGATTACACAAAGATCTGCTTTTACTTTAGTACACAGATGTCCAGAACCATGGCACTGGTCTTTTTCCTCTCCTTTCTATGCTTCTAAGGGTCCCTTAGCCCCCAAGCCTCTTAAATGGTGGGTCAAGACTTCATGTGGGTTTCATGAGTGAAGGGTTGGGGGATGCTGTGAAGTAAAACTGCCCGTAGTAAAACATTTCTGAACGCACAGCCACCAAAAACACATTCAAATCAACTACTTGATGAGTCTGAGGTGTTTGTTTCTGCTCACCCATATTGTTTTTCAGGAAGAAAAGGGTTTTGAGTGGAAAAGGCTAACAAAAGCCCGTAGCCCCCAGATCCCAAATGAAACTTGCCCTGTGGAAGAGGAAGCAGAAACCTACTGGGCATGGCTCAGTCTTGGTTCCTCAGTCTGGTACTAGCTCGGGGTCCCCTGGCCTCTCCCGACTCTGTACTGACACCCAGTGCACACGATCACTATGTCCAGATGCTGCCCAAGGAGGGTGATGCTGGCAGGAGGAGGATGCTGATTTGGGCAGACACCCCATTCCTGCCACCAACATCACCATTACAGAGTTTGTGCACAGGGTAGAGAATGGTTGATTCAGCTTTGGCGTTGGGAAGGTCTAAGGAAAGAGACTCTGAGAAGGCCCTAATGTACATCCAGAGTCTTTCAAAACAAAACAAAACAAAAATTGCTCCTTTTAAGAGTATTAAGCCTCAAAATCCAAATTACCTAATTTTTGGGTCAAGTATTGCAAGCTCCAAATGAATAACAAGTTAATCTTTTTTTCCTGCTTCTTGGACTCTGGGCTGGGCGGCACACTTCTGAGGTCAGTCTCCTGGAACCTTTTGGCAGCCGGAAAGTGTTTCTGTCCCCATGAACCCTGGCAGAGGCCGGCGGAGAGCCACAGTCAGCGTGCTGCTGGGTCTGCAGACCAGCTTTCCTGTGAATAGGTGGCACATATGCTGAGCTCTGGAACCAGCTCCACGGGGTGTTAGGCTTTCCTCAAGCACCCGGGGCCAGCCGCTGGGTTGGCGTGTGGCAACAGTAGAGCAGCGGCACCGTCTCCAGCCTCCAAATGGGCTGTGGGGTGTTGTAAGGGACAGCCTGGTAGCTGGCCAGTTTGGAGTCCAGCTCTGCCTCTTGGTTTCAGCCCTGCCTTCAGTGGGCCCGTCTCTGTGTCTTTTCTCCAGTACAGTAACCGTGTGGCACTGGAGTCTAGAGTGTTACCGCCATAGGGACGTTAAAAGCCATCAAGTCCTAACTTGCTTCTTACAGATGAAACCCATGGCAGAGCTGAGCAGCCTGTGGAAGATCTGCCTGGGATAGCACCTGTCACCTGAGTTGAAACTCAACCACACTAGCCTAGAAAAAGTGAATGCAAGCAGCGAATGCAACTTAAAATGTTAATTGTCACAGTTTTAAGCAACATTAACAAAGAAACATGTGAGGGCCTGGGTGATAGTTCAAAGGGCTGGAGCACAGGTGTTTGTACTTGGGAGGCCAGATTTTACTCTTCAGCACCACATGGTCGATCCCGAGTCCCATGACAGGAGTAGCCCCAGAGCAACCACTGGCTGTCACCCCCAAACAAAAATAAGTAGGCAGGAGTTAAAATAAATTTTAATAGTATTTTATTGAATCCAAGATAGCTAAAGGGTATATTTTAGCTATCTTGTATATCAGACGTCTATATGATAAACAGTAACAATAACAGGCCTCATTTCCCTCACCCTGAAAGAGCCCCCAGTATTGCAGCGTTGGGAAGGACGAATAAGGAGAGGCTACTAAAATCTCAGGGCTGGGACGAATGGAGGTGTTACTGCGCCTGTTCGAGCAAATTGATGAACAACGGGATGACAGGTGATACAAGTGATATGATATCGAGTTGAAAGGGGTTATCTTCTTTTATCTACGAGAATTCTTTGAAATTTAGTGTGCAGTTCACACTGATGTCGCATCACAGATGGAACTGAGCCCATTTTTCATGTTCAGCAGTTTTGTCTGTTCCGACTGGGTTTGAAGAAGCCTGTGTTCTTTCTGCTTTACCCTGGGTATGGGCAAACATGGCCTTTATGAACATTTATTTTTGAGTAGCCCAAGAGAAAGCTCAAGTGATAGAACTCAGGGCAAGCATGCATGAAGACCTGAGCTTTTTATCCCTAATATCTCATGGTTCCTGACAGCACTGGATGTGGACCCAGCCCCCTATATTGCTGGATGTGACCCTTCTAAAGAACAACTAAACCAACCAAAAACATTTATTTATGAAGTCGGTAAAAATTGACCTTGTTGCATTATTTATAAGGGGTGACTGGCCTTGCTTAAGGTCACATGCTAAAAAAAGATTAGTTTCCATTCACAGTTATCTTTCCTATCTTTTTTGCTTAAAATAGTAACGTTACTATAGGTGACCTCCTCAAATAATTTTTAGCTATCAGTTGGAAAAAAATTCCCTGGGGATCCTGACGTAATTCTAGAACCGTGTGGGAGGCATCTGTTTTGTAGCTTCATAGTAACTAAGTTGTTTAAAACTTGGGAGTTCCATTTTCAGAGCACCTTAAAGGCCACTGCTGTGCTGATAAGAATCTCTCTGCTTCCTAGGCTCTTAAGCATTGTTCACTATTTTTGGAAGAAATTATTTTGATGTTTCATATTAGACTCAGTATCTTAAACTGAATGGTGAATTCTCTTTTCTTCCAAGTGTGAGAGAGAGAGCACATTCCAGAGACAACTTAAGCCAGAGAAAAAATATAGCAGCCTAGGTTCCATCCCCAGCATCACGTATGGTCCCCCAGGAAGGTCTGAGAGTGATCCTTGAGCACAGAGTCAGGAGTAATATCTCAGCAATGTTGGGTGTGTCCCCAAAACAAAAGTCAGCATAAGCTTAAAAAACAAAAATACCACAGCTAGCCACAAGAAATCCTTTCTAGTTTTGAGAAAATTTGGTATTGAAAACACAATTTTAGCATCTTAAATGTGTCACAATGGTCTAGAATCTTAAGCTTAAATCCATTCCCATTCAGGGTTGACAGCCTTCTGGATTTGTGCAGGAGTAAATATGGGAGTATTTCTTGTCCCTCCTTCCATGAAGAAGCCTGTAGAAGAACTCCTGAGGCATATTTTTCTTACTGTTTTGCTTGTGTTTGAAGCAAGGTAGTTTTTATTGAATAAAACTTGCTTAGAAAGGCATAAGAGGAGAGAAAGAGGGGAAATTTGTTCAAGAAAGAACACAGGCTTCTGCAGAGTAGAATTAAGCAGGCAAAGAAACATGGAGACAAGCAAGTGAGATATGTGTTCAGGGGAGAACACAGATTGAAGAGCAAACTTTTTTCTATATTTTTGGGTCATACCCAGCAATGCTCAGGTATTACTCCTGGCTCTGCACTAAGGAATTACTCCTGGTGGGGCTCAGGGAACCGATGGGATGCTAGGGATTGACCCCGGGTCAGCCACCTGCTAGGCAAATGCCCTACCTGTTGTGCTATTGCTATAGCTTCCTTCCTTTATTCCTCCCTCCCTTCCTCTGTCCCTCTCTCCCTCCTTCCCTCCCCCTCCCTCCCTCCCTCCCTCCCTCCCTTCCTCCCTCCTTCCCTCCTTCCCTCCCTCCCTTCCTTCCATCCATCCTTCCCCACTGGAGTTTGCATTTTTCTTTGGAGTTCTCTGGAGTGTTTTTTCCATTTGTGGCAGACTCTGAGCAGCTGAAAGTGAATCAGAGATGATTACAAAAATAGGGTGTGGTGCAAATGGACATTGTCTGTCTGAAAGTCTCTTCACTGAGGAACCATGAGAGACGGGGGTGGAGGTGTCAGTAGAATTCTCTTGTTGATTTTACCTCATTTTTACTCATTAAAGTCATGTTACTGTATTTGGAACATGTGTACTATATTTTTGGACACACATATTTTTTTCATTATCATGCCTAAAGGATAAAGCATGTTAACTGGAAGAGATGCCATATGTTATAATGAACAAACACAAGTTCTATGTTATGATTCTGCTAGAGTATAGCACATTTGTAATGGGGCATATGCAAAAGATCATTG